TATTATTATTATTATTATTATTATTATTATTATTATTATTATTATTATTATTATTATTATTATTATTATTATTATATTTTTATTATTATTATTATATTTTTTTAATCAATTAATTAACAATCAATCATTATTATTACTTTCTTTTTCTTTTGGTAATTGAAACAAAAGATTGATATTTCCAAGATGGGATGTATTTGCTGTAGTGTTTTCGGTTTTCTTATTAACTTATACTTATATCGAAGGAAAAGCTAATTATTTCAAAGGTTCAATTTTAATTTTATCATATTTAGTATTAATGGCAGGATTTTTCTGTGCACCTAAACATGATAATTATTAAAAAAAAAACTTTTTCCCATATGAACAATTTAATGGAGTCATTTCTTTATAAACATTTTATATAAATGCTAAAGACAGTATTAAAAGTAGATGTATAATATTTATATGTATAATAATTCAAATTTATCCGTTTGTTAATTAAAAAAATTTAATTCCTGAAATTGATTAAATTGTAAACTTAATAATAATAAGATATTTGGAGAGGTTTTGGATCAACACAAGAATTTACTCTCAAGCAGAAGTGGGAGAAAATAATAATTTTATCATCGTAGCCGATAAAAATTAACATAATTGCATGACCTTATTTAATATTTAACAATAAGCTTTAATGAATAAAATATATAAAAAGCTTAGTACATATGGCTTTGTTTACATACTACAAGATTTGATTGCAATACTAATCCCAAGGCAAGCTAGGAAGATGACTAACCACAATACAGACAAGTTCTTGTGTAGATATTTTTTTTAGCTTCTACAAATTCCATTAATAGGAAAAAACTACCAGCTATGAAGTCACATAGTGTTATTATTCCAATAGACCATGCGTAAATGCATTAAAGAGAAGCAGTTAGTAGCATAAGAGGGACCGAGCTATAAAATATTGCTTTCTATCACATACCTTTAAAGAAAAGTGTAACAATGGCAGCTAGCTAATAAGGTCAAGGAACCAACATTTTTTTATAATAACCTTGTAATTTTTTATCCATCCCCCGGACTTTTGGTTTTAATATATGACATTAGTGTAAAATGAAGTAAAAAAAGTCGAGAGGGACTCTGTTCAATAATCCACAAGAAAATTTTGCTTGTAACGGTAGTGGGCGTCTTTACTGATATAAAGATATTTGCAGTTGATTTTTTTTTTTTTTAATGTGAAAATGATTGCGAGTTTGTGATGCTTTTTACAAATAGTAACCCTCGTGTTCATCAAACGCAGGCTGAGGTCATGAACGAGCATTCATCAAATGATCAATCAGGCCATGCCATGACTACGGGCCATCAAATGGTTGATGCAATTCAGAGTTGGTGGATTATGGCGTTTGTTTGTGTTTTGTGCGTGAATTTTAATTTGAAATTCACGCAGCAAAAGTTTTTTAAGTTCGCACACGAAATCTTTGTACGAATTTTTTAATTTATAAATTTGACGTTTCTAATTATTGTTTATGGACAATTTTTTTAATAAAATTGACGAGAAAAAAATTTTTTTTATTGTGTTTTAGTAAAGAGAGCCTCGAATGTGTGGTAAAACTTGTGAAATTTTACTTCAGTATACATAATAGTTGTGTAGTATATAGTTATTAAAAAAAAAAAAAACAAACAAACAAACAAATATTACACAGGAGATTATAAATCCAAGAACAAATACTACACAAATACCAATTCATTCTCAGAAAGAAAGAAGCCTTTCGTTATAAATAGAGAGATATTATTTATTTTCTATTTGCTATTATTGTTATTCCATACATGCAACCCGGATTGATTTATTAATTATAATGTCGTACGTAAAATATTAACAGAATTGTACTAATATGAGAAAGCCTCGACCGTTAATAATACCATAATGGCCCGATTTTAACCATAAAAAATGATTACAAATATAATATTCACTATTCATGAAACATAACTTTCGACAATTTTGAAATTTGTAAAAAAAAAGAAAAGTTGCTGTTTAGGAATAAATAACAACAACAACAACACACACACACACACACACACACACACACACATATACTGTGTATATATTATATATGTAAAGAGAGAAAAGAAAGAGAAAAGAAAGAAAAGAATACAAAGAATGTGAGAGAATATATAGACTTTGGTCGCTATTTTTCGTATTCTCTGTTCTTTTACGATCACCATCACTTGCTATTATTATTTTCGTGTTACTTGTTTATAATATTCATTATATATCAATTACTTATATAATTAAATTATTCATTATTATCATTACTACTATTACAAGTTACTTTCGTTGTAATGACAACTCTCCGTGCAAGCAAAAAAATGTCAGTACAACGAGATCGTCATTAGATAAAAGTCATGTGATTTTATAATTATTAATCAATGCAATAAATACTATCTCTCTTTGGAAATTTTGTTTCTCAAAATTGATTTGCATAAACCTTTTTATCGTCATAATAATTGATCAATCACTTTTTAAAGATTGTAAAAGAAAAAAAATCCATTTTGATTAAAAATCAAGTCTTTTCTAAAACGCGGAGAAATATCTTCCCTCCACTAAAAAATTTGGAACTAATCCATTATTGTTAGAGAAAAAATTAATTAAGCTTTTTTTGAAAAGATTCTTTCCTGCTATCAAAAATACCACCAATAAGGAATTGGAAAATCAACTTTGGGAATTAATTATTAATATATATATTATTAGGAAAATCAACCAAACTTTTTTTGAAAATGTAAAGAAAAACATAATGATTTATTATTCTAATTTAAAAACGACCATGCTTTTTTTGAAAGTTTGAAAAAAAATTGGAATTGACTTTATTGTTAATATTAAAAACGACCATGTCTTTTTTGAAAATGTAAAAGAAAAAACGCAACAATTCGGGAAATTGATTTATTATTATTAATATTGAACTATGACTTTTTTGAAAATGTGAAAAAACGTTATCGTCGAATGGAATTGCGCAAGACTTGCACATTTGTTCCTGATCGATGATGGCCAAAGAACCTAAATGGTTTGCTCATCCTGTGGGCAATACATCATCAATATTCAATTATCATGCCTCCTACACAGTAAGGCCTACGGTTGTATGTTCAAGATGCTATTTTGCGTGTAGTTTTACATTAAAAGTTAAATGTAGCGATGGGCGTTTGACTGTTGAGTTTTCTACTACTTGATATCATTATAATTGTTACATAAACAACAGTCATTAGTTATATGGTGAATTACTTGCTATTCACAGGAAGGAATATAAACAAAATATCACGTAAATTAATTTTTTTATTTGTTTACCAAATTATTTTTAAACAACACTTTGAATTAGTAAATTTTTTTAATTTTTTTTGATCTATAATGAGTTATTACTTTATACAACCGCGTTGTTCTATTCAATTATAAAAATACATAATAAATTTAAGGGGATAATAATAATGTGGATAAAATTATAGATATATGCGTGTGTATGATGCTATTAAGGAAAAAAAATTTTTTTTTTATAATTCAAAAGTTTCATAATGAACTTTGAATAAACAAGTCTCGTCACTTTGAGCAACGGCAGCATTTCTAACTTGTGTTCTCATAGGTCCAGGACCACAAACTCCAACGGCAATATCACCAGAACCATGATATGTTTTGACGTCGCTGAGTATAACATCAAAGTTGGGTCTACCTTGAAAGAAGATCGAGGAAGGTGTTGTAGTTGATCTTGTTAAAAATATTTTTAGGTCAAGAAGATATTTATTTGAGGGCAATGCTTTGGCTCTTGAAATTAAATTTCGTAATTCGCTACCGAACCAAGAATAACAATCTAAATAAATAATGATAATAACAATAAACTTACGTGAATGTGTGTCCTTTTTGTTCCTCATCCCCTATTCCATGATTATACCAACCAGAAAATGCTACCATTGCAGGAATTTGTAATAAGCATACTTGTAATGCATACGCTGAACCAATTTCCATACTAAATAATAATTAATTCAATAATTTAAATTTAAAGAAAAATAATATAAAAAAAAAAAAAATTTTTATGTTTCAAAAACCACCATTCATTACCTGAGAGCAATGTTACCATATAATGCAAATGCCATTGCGTTAACAAATTCAGTAACATTAGGAACCAATGCAAACAATGTTAATCCAACTAATTTTTCATAACCATGACTAATTTTATCATCTGGATCCTTTTTCAATACTACTTCAACATTACTCACCAGTATCTCTAAATAATAATAAAAAAAATTAAAGTAAAAATTAGTGAGAAAAAATATATATATCCATTAACACACGCATTCCTATTTACCTGCTATCGCAGAATAAAGTATTGTACAAATGACCAATACAATTCCACTCTTTAATTTACTCCAATTTGGAGAATCATGACCAACAGGCTCTTCTTCTTCTTCAGGATCATATGCAAATCTAAGTTGATCCAAATTAGCAGCAACTTGAGCAATATTTATATTTTCTGGTGATAAATGATGATGATGATGACCAGCATCAAATGCAGACATTGGTCTATGATGAAGTGTTGGTGGTTGATGTTGATGTTGCTGCAGCTGCTGTTGATGTTGTTGATGTTGTTGAGGATGAGTATTATAGATAGGAAGTGAATGCATTAATGTATTAGTGATTTTTTTGTAAAGTGAAATTCTATTATTTTGAGTATTTTGATCCGCAAATGTGTGATGGTGTCCTGTTTGCCATACTAAAGCTGCGTGCGTTCTTAAAGTAAACCAAAGACCAATGAGGTATGACTATTTGAAGAGCAAAAAAAAAGTATAAATATCTTGATTATAAAACAAGTATTTCTTTAAATATTTAATTTTGCAAATATTTATTTCTTTACTTACCAAAACTAAAACACACGCGCAAAAATACATTAAAGGCTTTACTTTATTTTTATATAATGGAGTAGTGATTGGATCTACTTGGAGATGAACACATCGTTGACAATCGCCGAATTGATCATTCTCAGTACATGGGCGACAATCCATATAATACTATATTATTATTATCATCAATATCGTTGTTAGTAAATCAATAATAAATATATGATAGATAATAAGTAATTGTATATACCGGTGCATAGGTTTGATAGAAAAGAGTTGGTGTAAGCGCACCAATAATAGCCATTATAAGCATAGTAGATGTTACACCTTGAATATACGCAATAAATGCAAAAAAGCACTGTGAATATAACTAATAATAAACAAACACATATACGTACATCCATAATAAGAATATAGTTTTTATTTTCACCTGCACTTTTTGCATTAAATCTTTGTTCTTTACGTTTAAAAGCGCCACTAACCATACTAACACCAGGCATTAAAAGTACACCAGCCATCAAACTTCCAATGATACTACCTTCAGTAAGTTTGCCTTTACCTCTGATTAAAGCCATCGCATACAAAATTATTTCAATTATACTACCAAATGTAGCATTAATCACAGCACCCATACCAGCTGAAGATTGTGCAGAGATTGAAGCAACAGCCATTCCAATAAAATATGAAAGTGGTATCACAGATGCAAGTGAAATAGAGAAAATAAATTTGGGATCTGTGAAGAAATAATCTAAATTTAATACTTCATGAAGTATATAGTCATCTATGATTGCAAAAAACACCAAGGGTATAAGATTAATAAAAATAATATTAATTCCTTCGAATGTGTATTTGTAATATTGAAATCCAATTGCATCATGTGTACATAACAAAATTAATGAATGATATGATGATGTTGTTGAACCAGATTTAAAGTTTAAAGAAAGAGGATGTCTCCTCAGATGTCTTGTTAGAATATAGGTAAGCTTGGCCATTGGTATGGGAATTACAGCCAACCAACACAATGCGGAAACAAGCAAGAACAGAGGTGCTAAAAAAAAAAACAAATTTTTAATTAATTAGTTAATTAAGTAATCAAAAAAAAAATTACTATTATTAATTATATATATACCCACCGATAACTAAATAAAACAAAAAACAGAAAACTAATCCAGCAGGGCCCATTTCACCCACTTTATTAAATAAGTTTTTTTTTTCTCGATTTTTTCTACGAACTTCTATAAAACTAGGAGTATGTGGCAATAATGGTCTTCTTTCACCTGCAGCTGCCTCATTATCACGATGACGATGACGACCACCACCAACATCAAAATTAATATCACTTTCACTGCTATTGATCCCATCGTCATTTTCAAAAGTCGCATAATCATGTCCATCATCCTCTTCAAGAAACTCATCCTCAATTATCTCTACATACTTGTCAAAAGGCCACAGAATATAACAACTTAGTTCACGTAATACACGAGCATATTGTGATCCTCCAAATGGCATCATCGATAGAGTAAATGATAAAACAAGTGAGATAAGTGCTAGCCACCATCCACATAATATTGCCCATAAAATATTTCCTGGACGAAGATACAAGTCTGATGAAGGAGCTGAATGCAATGCTTCATTGGCATTACGAATCACTGAACGAGATTTTTTATATAATGCTGGTTTCCACAATGGTAATCCAAATGGATGTGTGTAATTTATTTTCTAATTTACATAAATGTAAATATTTTTTATTTTTTAAAAAAAAAAAATTGAAATATTCATATTT